GCAAGTAGCCATATTCCAGAGAATAGTCCCAGCCAGAGATTTGGGGAACCAAGGATCCAGGTGTATAACTAGGGGACAACATGTCAAGCCTTTTAAACTAGCAAATTTTTTTCTTCCTCTCCAGATAGTCTCTAGTGGAATAAACGCAGGGAACTCTTTAGGCAATAGGAGTAAATTCCTAGGCCTTTTATCCCCCTCCTGTCCTGTGATGGAGTAGATTGGGGACTGGGTTGAGGGGATTAAGTCACATGAAGGAACTTTTTGCACAGTTTCTCATCCTTTTTAAACTTGGGAAGTCCCTGGACCTTGTCTATATTAAGACAAACAGGCAAACCAAAGTTCTGTCCCTGTTGGACCTACTGCCTCTCTCCCCGGTCCTGAATTGATAAAGCCTCAGAGTTTTATGGCTCTCTGGTGGGGTTACCATTAGTTGAAGGGACTTGTACAGTGGCCAGTTTAACATTTTTACATCTTTGACCATCTAAACCCAACTTGTTCAGCATTCTCTCAAGCCGTTCTTGTCAGGAAAACAGTGCTGAGACTTCCTTACTGTCTGGCTTCTCCCTTTCTTACACTCACCATTAGAAATTTAAGAAGGAAGTGTGTGATGGACTACAATCAAGTATCTGCTAAGCTTTTCAAGCTTTTCCCAGACTGCTGGTGAGGACTGATTTTTTAATAGCCAGTTTGAGAGAGGTAGTTGTTACTGGAACCCAGCCGGGTAGCTGAGAGTGCATAAATATGCTAGAGAAACCCTTTTCCTTAGCAGAGGGCATCATGGATGCTGGGTGGTCTGTATACTTAACCTGAAACTGTGAAGTTTTCCCTTATTGCCAGTGAACCAAAAAGCACATCCTTGAAGCTTTGCCCTTGAAACACTAAACAAAAACTGTTTCCCTTGATTCCCCTGAGACTAAGTGGTGGAGCAGGATGGTCCAGTTGGTCCCAGTCAGACGTGTAGCAGGATCAGTAGCTCATGAGGCTCATTGACCAAACCCTGTCTTTCTGGGTGTCCCCCATATTCACACCTGAACTCTCCCTCTGTTTAGGTCGTGTTTGCTCTTCTGCCTCTAGCTCACCCTTTTCTGAATTGTTTTACTTGAAACACTGTATCGAGGCAAAGGGCACACTAGGGTACCTGGTGGAAGGTATTCATTTTATTTTGCATTTTTACTTTTTTGACCTATTCATTCGATTTTGTTGCCCCTCTCTCCTAGAGCCCAATTTAGCACTCTCTCTTGCTGTATCGCTCTGAAGTTCTGTTTGACCCTTCAGTGTCCTCTCCTCTCCTTTTTTCTTGTTCTGTACTCTGGACCAGCTACATAATTTGTGGAGCCCTCTTGTTCACGAATTATTAGGAATTTCAAGGTGGCAATTGTAGAGCATTAAACCACAGCGCCCACTCCCAACTTGTTTCCTAAGGGAAAATGGTAATACTTACATGGCACGTTGGGATAAACAGCAGAGGCTGCTTGTGGCCAGAAGTGGGGATCAATATTCCACACTCCAGCGACTTGTTGATGGCTTATGATGCCACAGCACCTGCTGGGAGTCTCTGCTGCACTCCAGTATTTGGTCCTAACCTTTAAGACTCCATGGAGTCCCTACAGTTCATGGCTAGTTGGGAAGAAAGGAGGTGAAGTGGGTGTTGAGCCCAGATGACCCCTAAGGATGAGGAAATTGTAAAAGTTCTCTTTGACTCAAGTTCATTGCTCCTCTCTGCCTGCCCAGCCAGGGCTCTCGTCAAGCACCTCCCAGGCAGTTCCCCACATGGATTCCACACCATCAATTCTCTCCTCTCCAGGGCCACCTCTTCAGTTTGCATCTCTGGCCTTTTCCTCCCTAATTAGATTCCTTAAAGTCCTGCAACTTTTTTTTTTTTTCCTTTTTGTCTTTTTTCGTGACCGGCAACGGATCGCAACCCTCACTGTCACGCCCGTACCGGACACAGGGACCGGCAACGGGATTGCAACCCTTGGTGTTGCGCTCGCACCTCGCTCAGCCAGTGAGCGGCCGGTCTGTATGTGGGATCCGAACCCTCGGCGGGAGCACTGCCACGCTCCCAAGCGGCGCACTGTAGCAGTGCGCCACCGGGCCGGCCCCTCCAGGACAAAACTTTGGGCTTAAATACCTTTCTCCCAGTTAGGTGTTTGCTACTGATGAATTTTCTTTTTCTTATGGCCTCCTGCTGTGCCCTGTTTTCCCCAGGCCTCAGACTACTCAACTTCAGAATGAATTTAAATCCCTCTATAGACGGACACTGAATTTGTTGGCACAAGAGTGGGCCGTGTAAAGCAGTCTGTGCCCACTTGGGAGTCCCCCTGTGCCCTTTCCCTAAATCCCGCGCTGAATGAGTCAGGAAGCTGGGGTGCACAGCATTAGTTTCAATGTGATTATGCGTCATAACATCAGAATGAAAATGAAACTTTCGATTTTGATGTTTCCTTAATACTCTTCCTCTGTCTAATTCACCCCTCCCCACCTCTAATAGCTAAAATCTCATGAAACAGAGAAGAGTTGTTGACGTCTGACTCCATTAAATTAATAAGTACTGACCTCCTAATATTTAAGTGTTTACTATCTATTGCTGTAAAGTTTTGTATATTTTGTAAACTTTTTTCCCAAATAGTAGATGTCTAAAATCATTGTACATCTGATTCTTTTATATTCCATTGTTCAGCACAAAGTGTGGTTTTTATTTAGAATAAAAAAAGAAATTTGGAATGGGAGTTCTTTTCCTATTTACTATGAACATGCTCATACTGTGAGTTCAGAAGCTCTGGGTTCATCACCTTTTCAGTAGCACATCTCTGCTCATCAGATTGCCAGAATTCTTTCAGATAGACATTTTCCTTTCCTGTAGCTGGAATTCCCCAGGACTAATTTGTTGATCTGTTTTTAGTGGGAAATTAAGTAAAAAACTTAACCTTTTCAGGGGAACATCCTTGAGATCTTCTGTTAGCCCAGAAAAAACAGTGGAACTCTGCTAATGTCCAGTTGGACATTATTAATGACCAGTTGTCCGTTAGTAATGTTAGTGAGAGATGTGGCCACAAATTGTCTTGCTAATGCCATTTAATTCACTATGACATGATATGCCCAGAAAAAACAGTGGAACTCTGCTAATGTCCAGTTGGACATTATTAATGACCAGTTGTCCATTAGTAATGTTAGTGAGAGATGTGGCCACAAATTGTCTTGCTAATGCCATTTAATTCACTATGACATGATATTTCTGAGTGGAGAGAGGCAGATGGAAAGTAAGAGGGGAGAGGAAGATTCAGAAGGATAGAGTAGGGGGCAAAAGTGTGGCATTATTTCATGAGGTTGATTCACAGAGGAGACAGACCTCTAGAAATTCAGGAATGATGTGGTCCTTTTGGTCCCAGAGCACGGTGCCCAGGCCCTCAGTGCTCAGTAAATGTTTGCTGAGCACAGCAGCCTTGTTGCAGTCAGCACAGCAGTTCCCACTCTTCCCTTCCGTGGATGGAAAGGCCCTAAGGAAGTGTTCATATGGCCAAGGTGATAACTGTTCTTAGGGAAGGGGCCTCTGCGGCGAACTTGGATGTTACAGAGATAGTAAAATTGGGTTTCCTTCAGGAAACTTCCAGAGCCCAAGTCAGAGGAGGCAGTGATATGGGTATCAGCTCTTGGTTTGGTTTTTATGTGGGGACAAGGGAGGAAAGTTTTTAATGCAATTTCTGCATTGTTAGGTTAAGCCCTTACTGTGCCCCTAAGCCGCAATCAGACTCCTGGTTCAAAAAGCCTTCAACCTCTGCCACTGAGCAATTGTTGCTTAAGACCCTTTCAGGTTTGGGCACAGTGAGCAAGGGGATGGTAGATACAGGTTTCTCTTAATGCTTCTGACAAACTTGGGGTACATGCACAATTGGAGCATGTTTAATGCATCTGGTGAATACAGTTTCAGATTTCTGAAAGCAGGGTAATCTCTGGGTAAGTCAGTAGTTGTTCCAAGTTAAACATTCCAGACACACTGAGCACTTGAGCAGGACAGAGGAGACGGTGAAGAGGATATCAGTGATTACATCCACAATCCTCTCACTCTCCATAAGCAGGGTTTAGACGCAAAGGACATGGAAGTGGAAGGCGAAAACTAGAACTTGTTCTTGGGCCTTTACTCAGAGTTCATGGACACAGTCCTAGTTTCCCAAACTGATAAACAAAACGAGCCTTTTCCAGATCTACTTGTTAACAAGAGGACTTCTTTTCCTGTCTATAGAACAAGCGTTAATAAACATAAATTTCTGGACAGGAAAATTATGAAAAGACTTGGCCAAGGATAGTTTACTTATAACAGTGTTAGAGCTCTGCCCTGTGACAGAATTGGGCAATTTCCACCTTGGCTTTCTCATCCTGTGCAGAGGACAAAGACTGAGGGATGTAGGTAGCATCTGTCAACACCTGCTGCTGGCCCCTGATATTTTCCTACGATCTGGCGATAAAGGGAGAGATGGGGGTGGGAGTGGGATTTCTGATAGCTCTCTCTCTCCCTAGAAGTCTGGACGTGTCCTAGATCCAAAGCTGGGAGGTGAGCCGTGAGGAGCATTGACTCTGAGACAGCTCCTCTGCTTTGGGGGGAGGAGGAGCAGGATGGATGGGGGAAGAGAGGGTATCGGCAGGGAAATGCAGCCTTGTTTCCTGGAAGGCTGTGAGTGGAGAGACCTACCCAGCTGCAGGGTGCCTGTCTCAGACCTCAGCTTTGCCCCACCCTGTTGTCCCCACCCCTCCATTTATCATAGCTCTGAGGATGCACAGCTAGGGAACGTCCTGCTGACCCATCCTGGTTCCTTGGCCTCTGGCCTCTTGTCCCCACAACCTGCATAGTGAGCCGGAAGATCAACAAGCACACAAACACGAAAGGAAAGTTTTGTGAGATTCCTGCCAAGCTCACTCTTTCCGGCCAGGGTGATTTATGAAATGAATGCATCTAGTTTCCTCTGCTGAGCATCTCTTTAGCCTTAGCTCCCTTCCCAATCCCAGCTGGAATTGCAGATTTTTCAAAATCCAGAGTCATGGCCATCTCTAATATTTATTTCACCTTTTTTTTCTGCGTGGCACCCCTAGATTCAAGGACTGAGACAAATAGTACAACACCAAGAGCCTGTTCTCCATCCCCCCTTCTCCTTCTCCACACCTCAGTATTTTAAGATGTTCTCAAAACTGACCATGAGTGTACTGACACTTGCCCACACTTCCCCCCAAATTTCTCACCTACAACTCCAGCCTTTCACTTTGCTGATGGAGGAGCCTGGAATCTACCTCAGCTGGGTATAAGAGATTGAAGCGAGAAGGGTGCCTGGAAGCTCAGGCTTGGGTGAGGGTGGGGGCTGCTGCAGTGGGCTGGCTGCCCTCCTTGGTGATGATGATGGAATGCTGGGTGGATGAGGAGGAAGAGGAAGCGTGTGCGCCCGCCCGGGCCTGGCCCTTGGGAAGGTAATGGACCACAGCACTCAGTAGCCGGCCCCGGAAGCTTGGGCTGAGAAAGTTGTAAAGGATGGGGTTGACGACACAGTGCAGCATGGAGAAGCAGTCTATGATGTCATAGAAGAAGAAGAGCAGGTGGGCCAGGTAGCAGTGGAGGGAGACGTGGGTCCCGTGCAATGTGAGCAGCAGCAGGCTCACGTGGTAGGGCAGCCAGCAGACGGTGAAGACGGCTATGTAGGCACACACCAGCAGGCAGTGGCGCCGGCCCTCAGGCTGTCCTGGTCTCAGGAGCCGGCAGGCTGTCAGCACGTTGAAGACTGCAATGAGAGGGAAGGGCAGCAGGAAGCCCAGGATGGTGGTGGACAGGGCCACCACCAGGGCCCACGTGCTGTACGTCTCAAAAGGTGCCATGAAGAGGCACATGGGCTCAGAGCCCTCCACCAGCTGGATGTGGACCACTTCAGGCAGCGGGATGATGGCCGCAAGGACCCAGACGCCTGCACACACGGCCCGCCGCACTCGGTGCTGGTGGCTCTGCCAGGAAGGGGAGGCACAGGTGAGGGTGACATAGCGGTCGATGCTGAGGCATGTCAGGAAGAAGATGCTGCTGTACATGTTGGCAAAGTAGAGGTAGTGAATGAAGCGACAGGAGAAGCTGCCCCAGAGCCAGGTGTAGTCCAGCGTGACCTCCAGCATCCACACGGGCAGAGATAGGACGATGCCCAGGTCTGCAATGGCCATGTTGAGGATGTAGAGGTTCAGCAACCCTGCCCGGCCTGAGCTGCGCCAGTTGACAAATATCACCAGAAGGTTCTCCACCAGCCCAACCACAAATATGGCCAGGTAGAGGACAAAGAGGACCACTCGCTTGGCGCTCTCGCTGAACTCTATGTTGCACTCGGAGAAAGTGTGGTTGAAGAAGTAGAGCAGTTCAGTCCAGTCGTGGATCTCTCCAAAGTCATTGGCAGGCTCTGTGGTAAACCCCCCCGAGGGGCTAGGCCCCAAGCTGGGCTTGACTGACATTAGGACCAGGAAAGGCCTACTGGGAAGGAGAAGGGAGGGTTGGGAGAAAGCAGACCTTGAATGCAGGCTTGTATGCCTTGAATGCAGCCCTAAGGTAGAAGGCTACAGGGACTGGGGGGGCTTTGGGGAAAGATTTGGGGCTAAAGAGGCCAAAAAGGGAAGTTTAGGTCTCAAACTGTGAATAAATAATACACAACTCACTTGCTAGCTTTGACCCAAGAGCAGAGATGCTTTGTTAAGGGTTTTCAGCACTAAAGAAACCAGGACTGTTTGTGCCCAACAAGATTTCCTCCCAACCCAGCCAGTCCCACCCTGCCTCCGGCCCCAGGTAGTCTCTAGCCTCCATCTCTCTCCTGGCACTTTCACTCCTTGGTCTTTTGGTGTGGGTCTTCATTAGGAGCTCTTGCTGTGTTTTGCTATTTGGGCTGTGAGTATAGGACACACACACCCCCCCCTCTAATTCACCCCTGGGAAAATCTGTGGCTCATGTGGGAAAGGCAGTTGTTTCTAAGCCCAGATTCTCATCTTCTCTGGGAGAGGGTGACACCCACCTGAGTTTCCCTTGGATCACCTCTGGTCCTGGAGGGCCAGCAGGTCTGGGCTGCTGGGAGCTGCGAGGAGGCTGGAGGGACTATGGCCGTGGGGCTGGCTTTGCTGCTGGCTTCAGGGCCGCCCTTCTCGTCCGGGAAGTAGCTATCACTGGCTGAGGCTCTGTGGAAAAAGGCTGGGGTTTTTCCTGTATTCCCCCAATCCAGTTACAGGGGACGTCCCAGCAAAAAATCCAGACTCTTCACTCACTAGTTGTATGAATTTGCCTCTTTCTTTAGCCTCAGTTCTCTGCTCTGTAAAATGGGGTAACAATAGTATCTACTAAAAAAGGATGTTGTGAGAATTAAATAAGCCAGCAAGGTAAAGTGCTCAGCACAGACCCAGGCCTGTGGCATGTGCTTTACATAAATACACGTTTTCCTCTAAGTCAGCTTGGAATCTCACTCTTCCCTGTCTGTCTTGATTCCTAGTAGAGTGGAACTGGATGGGGATGGAGAAGCTAAAATAAACCTGAAAACCAGGCAGGCTTTTTTTTTTTTTTTTCCTTTCATAATTAAGATTTTATTGGTTGTGTGGAGGATCATTACACAGACATTTCAATTTGTACAATTTTTAATGTACATATCAAAATTCTAAAAAGCCATGTATCATAATTTTTTAAAAAAGGTTTTCCAGTGACCTTCCAGCTTCAAATTTGGAGGCAAATTTTCCTTAAGAGGATATTAAGTACCAGTATCTCCAGATGTTCATAACATGTTACATAAGTCCCACCAATTTACAATTTAATATCATATACACTATATACTCAAATTTTCACTCATTTACAACACATTAACAAAATTATTAGGAAAACTGGATTACCACAATCAAAGATGTTACAGAGTGCACACAATCCTGACAGGGAGAGCAATGATTAAGGAGTAGTTTTCTTTAAGAAACAATTCTACTAAAAAACAACATGGGAATAGAAATAATTTTAAATGTTCAAGATACATTAAATGTACAGCTGTGACTCCAAATTGCCATTTAGTATGCTTTGTATTATAGGATATAAAAACTAACCCCCATCTATGGAATGTTAAACTAACACCCAAGACAGTCAAGGCCTCCCATAATTCAATATTCCACTGTTTCCTGATTGTACCAGAAAATAAACAACCAGCAAATGATTTCACCTCTTAAAAAAAAAAGCATTTACACTTTTAAAATGCAGTGAAGTGGGATTCCCTCATGCTTAAAAATGTTTCTTGAACTACTAAAGAACTTGCATTTACAAAATAGTTGATAAAAACTCTCCTCTGGATTGTACAAGGGTGACAGGGACCACTGATAAGACATGGTATATGATATTAATCAGACTTGGCTTCATTCTTTCCTGCTTCATCAGAGGCTGGACTCTCCTCATTTTTAGTTTCTCCATTTTCTGCAGGTAAGTCTTCGCTTTCTTGGTTAGTCACTTGGGCCTGTTTTTCCTTTGCCCCCCCCTTTCCCTTTTGTTTGCACTTTTTTGTCTGAAGATTTATCCGTTGCTGTTGCCTTTTTTGGCGTTGTTTCCACTTTTGCAGGAGCAGGTTTAGCCGATCTCTTCTCAGGCTCTTCCTTTGCTGCCCCTTGGGCTGGGCTGGCCTTCGTCTTGGGCATCTTGGCTGCAGGGAGGGCGCTGGCCGGTGTCTGCAGGCCAAGGCGCCCTGAGAACCTTCACCAAGCTGAGCTGCCTGGCCACTCCAGGAGGGCTTTTAATGACTGGCTTGTCCCCTGCTGGTTCACGCCCGCCCCCTGCCATTCTCCCCAACCCCTCAGAAGGGTTTCTAGCTCCCTGCTTTCATTTTGTGATCGGAAGTGAGAATCTGGGGGGAGAGAAGAGACTGAATGTGGGGTGTGGAAAGGGGCTGCGTCAAGCTTCAGGGAGACTCCCTGCTGCGGAGGGAGAGAGAGGACAGCATGCTCTTCCCCAGGGCTGTGTACTTTTGTCCACTGGAGGGTGTGGTGTGTGGCTGGAGGGGGTGGAGAGGTGACAAACTTCTCTCTCCCTCCAAGCTGTAGGAAAAGGGACTCCAAGCTCATGACTTGTACTGTTGGTGAACATCTTGTGTCAGCAGAGCTTCCTGCCTCTCAGAGCACTTTCACCTCGGTTTATCTCACTTGATCCCTGAGATACCCCGGGGGGAGGAAGGTTGGGTTTCTTCATCCTCTTCCAGGCTCAGAGAGGTTGCTTGTCTTACACCAGCCACACTGCGCTGATGGCAGAGCTGCCTGGACCTGGACCCACATTATGTAGAATGTAAGCGCCAAGGGAGTGTTGGTTGGAGGGGATTAACTGTATATATTTAATTGAGGTGAAATTTCCATAAAATAAAATCTATTTTAAAGTGTACGATTCAGTGGCATTTAGTATATTCACATTGTTGTGCAACAACCACCTCTGTCTAGGTCCTAAATATTTTCTTCACCCTTAAAGGAAACCCCATATCCATTAAGTAGTCACTGTCTATTTCCCTCTCCCCCCTAAACCCTCCACCCCCTACCCCTGGCAACCACCACTTTGCTTTCTGTCTCTATAGATTTGCCTGTTCTGGATATTTAACATAAATGAAATCATATGTGACCTTTTGTGTCTGTTTTTTGTTTTTTGTTTTTCACTTAGCATAATGTTTTCAAAGTTCATCCACACTGTAACATGTATCTGTACTTCATTCCCTTTCTTGGCTGAGTAATATTCCATTATATGTATATACCACATTTTGTGTATCCACTCAAGGAGGGAATTTTTTTTTTAAGTTTGATAATTCACTTTTTATTGTGATAAAATATGCATAACATAACATTTTTACCATTTTTAAGTGTACAGTTCAGTGGCATTAGTACATTCACATTGATGTGCAATTGTCACCAGCATCCATCTCCAAGGGAGGGGATACTTTTAATTTTGCAGTTTTCTTAAATGTTCCACTCACATATTAGATCACTTTTAGATCAAGAAGTCTGTCATGAGGCTATGACAACGTGAAATGTGATTTACTTTGATTTTTCAGACAGCTCTGCTCTCTCTCTCCCTCTTTAGGATCTTAGTTTTTATCCCATCGATATCTTTTTTCAGCAAAGAGCCTTCTGAGAATTTTTGCCTTTGAGCCATACAGACAGAGACTCTCCTAGACCACGCACCCTCCAAGGAAGACCCTCATTCTGGTCTCTGTACTTTCCACATGGACCACTCCTGTAGCCATTTCTATTCCTCTGAGCCTGCAGTTTAGTGGCTCCAGTCTCCTGAGTCTCTGAATCTTCCTCCCATATGGAAACATCACCTCTGCAGCTTCACCTCCACCTGCTCCGAGCCCGCACCTACTCCATCACCCAATGTGTGTTTGCAGCCAGAGGAAGTGGTGATGGTTCCTTCTGGCAGAGGTTAAGAGGAAAAGCTGCTCCCTCAGGGAGAAAAAAGTGATAGCACTGCAGTTTTCATGTGGGTTTTTTCTGAGGGGAGCAGCTGGAAAGAGAGACTGGGAGGAAGGGAAAGAGGGAGGGGAAGGGGGGTAGGCTCCTTGCCAAGTGGACAGGAGGAGGGGGGCAAAGAGCTTTGCTCTAAGCAGGAGCAGCAGCAGCCCCAGCAAAACAATTCCTGGAAATTTACTTTTTCTCACCCTCCCCCCTCTTTTTTTAAAAAAAAATGTAGACAAGACATTGTGATCAACAATCAGAAAGGAAGGAAGGTACCAGGGAGGAGGTATTGAAAGCATAGATAAAGGCAGGCAGCTTCCCAGAGTTGGGTGGGAGCAAGAGGAAGGGAAGGGCTGGTTGTCCTGGGAAACCCTTGGTTTGCCTGGCCTGTAGGACGGGGGCAGATGGATTTTAGAAAAGTCAAGGCTGAGGAGTTTGGCAGCGATTACACTCCCATCCCCAGTAGGGCTTCCGAAAGGTCACTGAGTTAAGAAGCCAAGTCTGTCAGCCTGGAGGTTGCTCTGCCCTCCTGCTGTGACTTCCCTGAGCTAGAGAGGCGGCCCATCTGCGCAACAGCACCACACAAGGGGCTCCCCAGGCTCCCCAAAGGAGGATGTGGCCTGCTCCCCTGTCCTTGCATGTCTCTGCTCAGCTCTTCCCTGCTGCTCACCTTTCCCAAGACACAGTAGAGATAACACCAGTTTTGGGATCAGACCTGTCTTTGACACCTTGTTCCACCACCTAGCAGCTGTTTGACCCCACGCAAGTTGCTTAACCTTTCTGAGTCTCAGTTTCTTTATATGTAAAGTGAGGATAATGATGTTTCCCTCA